CAAAACCAAAACCAAACCAACAGTAAAAACAACAAAAACAAAATTAACCCTAAACCTCTACATCAAGGTACACAAGATCAAACTATTATAAAGCCTATAAAGCAGAAATAAAATCATTTCTGTTTTTATTGCTAAATAGGCAAAAATATTTACTATAAGATTTTAAACCATTTCCCCCACACTGAGAGTTATTCGTGTAATATCAGTGATGCACGGAACACATGATCAGCTTTGGTATTTTCTGTCTTGCTCTAAGGGGCTATAGAGGAGGTATGTTCCAGCTCTCATGAAGCTGGTTTTAGAAGCTGGCTTCAGTGAAAACACTGGAGGATGGCACAGCCAGAGTTAGTGATTATTTGGAGGAACATGTGAAGCTTAGGACATTCTAGTTTCCCAGGGTTTGAAAGCAAATCAGCCCACGTCACCACTGGACTGCAAGAGGACAGCTGTCATCTTCAGTTTGGGAAATCCATGAAAGGAGGTGCCAGCGAACTATGCAAAGGTTTCATATAATCACCACTGCAACGGGGTGTGTGTGTGTGTGTGTGTGTGTGTGTGTGTGTGTGTGTGTGTGTGTGTGTGTGTGTGTGTGTGTGTGTGTGTGTGTGTGTGTGTGTGTGTGTGTGTGTGACTCACATATAGGGAAAACTGACTAGAAGCAACCTTACTTATGCTTGTGGAAGAACAAGAGTAGAGTGACCCTTCCTCAGGTTTTAGAAGTCGGTGGGGGAAAGAGCTGTATCAGAAACTGTTAGTCCGTTTTCTGTCATTATAACAGATACCTGAGCTAATCATTTTATAAACAGGAAAGGTTTAGAGATTTCAGTGTATGGCCAATCTATGGCCCCAAGCTGGGCCTTAAAGGATGAGTAGGAGTTGCCCTGTGGCAAAGAGGACCAAAGAGAAGAACTCAAGGGAAAAATGAGCCATCGTTGAGTTGAATCTTGCCCCTTTCCCATTTGTTTAGTTAAATGGACACATAAAAATGTATTTATGTAGCACCATGTCATTACTCTGTATATAGTATGGCTATCAACCTACTCAAATATATATAAATATGTATTTAGATATAAATTATACATATGTATTTATTATATATTAACATATAAATATATTATATATAATATAAATACATAAATATATATTATATATTTATTTAACTATATATATATATTACATGAGCTTTGTCTAGCTATCCTACTAGATGTTTATTTATTTATTTACTTACTTATTTGTAGCCCAAGCTGGCCCTGAACTCAGCTTCCTGCCTCAGCTTCCCAAGGGCTAGGATTACAGGTTCATGTCTCCGCACATGGCAATAACTTCTTTCTAACCATAGCTACTGCTGTTGGTTCCTCAGCCTCTAACAACCATTGTTCTGCTTCCACTTGGAGAGTGACACCAGGTCTTGGTGTTTTGGATCCTGGGGGTGGGAGGGTGTGGGTGTGGGGGGTGGAGTTTGGATGATACTCTGGTCTATCCAGGCTAGAATTGTCTATTACGCCTGAGTTAGACTAACGCCTGTCATTTCCCCATCATTTCCATAAAACCTAGCATCCAGCCCTTCATCAGGAATGTATCTTCCTTTAGTGTCCATTTTTAGCATCTTCTCTCAAAGTATAACCTGTTAGGAATGCAAGGATTGTTTTAATCTGTCTTTTTTTTTTTTTTTTTTTTTTTGGTGCTGGGAAAATAAACCCAGGATCTCTGTTGTACTTTTTTTTTTGGTGCTGGGAAAATAAACCCAGGATCTCTGTTGTACTTTTTTTTTGGTGCTGGGAAAATAAACCCAGGATCTCTGTTGTACTAGGCAAGTGCTCTATCACTGGGCTACACTCCTAGCCCTGTAACTGCTTGAGCCTGGGTACTGTGCTGGGTTGTTGTTGTTATTTGTTTTTTCAATCCATTCCTCTCCTCTCCCCTCCCCTCCCCCTCCTCCTCTTCCTCCTCCTCCTTTTTCTTCTCTTTCATAATGCAGTTTTGATGAACTCACTCCGATGTTAAAGTATACCAGCTAGTTAAATCCCCCAAAGCTCTTAGGAACCCATGTGTTTTGTTGTTTTTCATACCAGTACTGGGGTTCAGGACCTGGCACTGTCCCTTAGCTTTTTCATTCAAGGCTGGCACTCTAGCACTTGAACCACAGCTCTACTTCTAGCTTTTTGGTGGTTAATTGGAGTTATGCTCCTCACAGACTTTCCTGTCTAGGCTGGCTTGGATCTGAGATCCCCAGATCTCAGCCTCCTGAGTAGCCAGGATTCCAGGTGTGAGCCATCAGCAGCTGGCTAAGAACCAGTTTTTTGAGTTTGAACTAAGAGGCAAGCATATGGACCCAGCCAGACCTCTCCTGGGTCAGTGCTTGCTGATCCATGTTATCTTGTATGCTTGACTTTATTCTTCTTCACATGGCACAGACAGAACACTAAGCCTGTCAAAGCCAGTGTCATTACCCGAAAAAAAAAAAAAAATCAACTTTGTGTGTGTGTGTGTGTGTGTGTGTGTGTGTGTGTGTGCTCAGTTTCAAATCTGGGGCCTTTGACACTCTAGAAAAGTGATCTCCCATTGAGCTACACCCCAAACCCCAAGTCACCAGTTATTTTTCAAAGACTTCATTGCTTCTGTTTTCCTGCCACTTGTCTTCATGAAGAAAAGAAACAGCACGCTGCTCCACTTGGTCTGACTGCTAATTCTGGACAGAGCTAGCCTCAGTATTCTTGTGGGGAACACACAAGCTTCCCAGCCGCTGTGAATGGCTAGTCTGTATTGAAAGCTTGATGGAGCCTTTGTTGTTTTGGCAGGTTTCAAAGAAAAAGGAACTCTTGCAAAATGTAGGTGTACGAAATTTTCACAGTGAACCCTTTCTCCAGCTGTGGATTTCGGGTAACCCATGAATTTCCAAGGAAAAATTGCAGCATGTATTTTAAAAAACTGACTGCCTAGGTCATCATTTTTTTTTTTCACGATATACCAAATTTTCTAAGTCACTGAAACAAGCCACTGATGTAACCTGTAACCCTAGGACTTTTTCCAGCTCCACCTTTCTTCCCTGTCAGCAGCCCACACTGTGAGCCACAGGACAGGTTAAGAGCATCCTGTGCCAACATGGTGTCATCTTTGGTGTCATTTAACCACAATTGCCAACACTAAACAATAGTTATGAACTCTAACTTGTTCCTTTTTACAGTAATAAATATTCCCTTGTTTTAACTATAGTATAACAAAAGATTAAAAAAGAACCAACTTCTTGCCAGGTTCTGATTTTTACCTGTAATCTTAGTTACTTAGGAGACTGACATATGAGGATTTCCATTCAAAGCCAGCCTGGGCAGGAAAGTCTGTGAGATACTTATCTCCAGTTAACCACCAAAAAGCTGTGAATGGGGCTGTGGCTTAAGTAGTAGAACACCAGCCTTGAGCAAAACAAACTGAGTGACAGTGCCCAGGCCCTGAGAGTTCAAACCTCAGGACTAGCCTCTCCCTCCCCCCCCCCAAAAAAAAAACACTTCAGTTTTGGGGGAATCCAATGTTCATGTTAACTTAGTTTCAATGTCCAAACATCTTCAATCTCTGGTAGAAAGCTTTTAAAGGTATATCTAAAACCAGCTGGGTGCCAGTGGCTCACACCTGTAATCCTAGCTACTCAGGAGGCTGAGATCTAAGGATCGAGGTTCACCCAAGCCTGGGCAGGAAAGTCTGTGAGACTTCTCTCTCCAATAAACCACCAGAAAACCGGAAGTGGTGCTGTGGCTCAAGTGGTAGAGTGATCGTGCTGGCCTTGAGCTGAAGAGCTGAGGGACAGAGCCCAGGTCCAGAGTTCAAGTCCCATGTTGGACAAAAAAAAAAAAAGGTGTATCTAAAACCCATCTATTTTTAGGTCTTCAGATATGAAACCCAAATCTTCTGTGGCATCTCTGGTTAAATTTCATATGAAAGAAAGATCCTAAAACAGTTATTTTTATTTGCTAGAGGCTGGGGCCAACTGTTGCCACTGAACACTGATTTAGAACTGCTTTGAAACTCCAATCATGAAGAGGAGCCCATGTTTTCTTTTGGGGAAGGAACGGACAAATGAAATTTTAATAAATCCAGGCATATACATGTGCTTGCAATTCCAGCACTCAGAAGGCTGAAGGCTATTCTTAGGCACACAGCAAGACCTTGTCTCAAAGAAAAGAGGTATATACCCTACCAAGTTATTTGACAGCTTCTGATTTAGCTGAAGTTGTCAAAAGGAAGGACACTAGCCCTACTAAGTGTACTTGATACAATGTGTCAACCCACAACTGCTGTCTTGACATGAGAAAAATACTAGAAGGATCTCAAGATAGAAATACTCTGCATACCCCCACCACCCAATCAATATTGCTCCAAAATGCAGAGATTGGCAAAATCAGGCCAAGTCTGCAGCAGCCAGTTGGACCTGAAGGACATCCAGCTAAATGGTGAGTTCTAGAACAGCAAAAGGCACCAGGGAAAGCCTAAATCCAAATAAAAATGAGGCTTAACTTCAGTGTTCATTCACTGACGATGACAAAAGGGACCAAAACAACTATTAACTAGGGAGACTACTACTAGACTGTAGAATCCAGGGAATCCTTTTACAACTTTTGTGGAAATCTCATTTTAATAAGGGGTTTACTGAAACAAAGAGAAGTAGTATGTTGGGCAGTTTAAAAAATATGACCAGTAAAAATGACACAAAAGCAGACTTGCCACTACTGGATGAGCTAGAAGCCCAGACACACCTGTAGACAGCTGCAGCCGAGAGGAGCCCTGCCCGGTCACATTACCTGCTGAGAGTTCCCTGGGAAGAAGTCCCCCCACCCCACCGCCCCCTTCTTTATAAGGAAAAACTCAGGCTCTCTACTAAAGCAAAGCTTCCTTGCTGGAGGTTGTCCCAGTGGACTCATGTGCCTGAGGCTATAGGTGAACTTGACACTTCAAATGTAAAACTCATCAACTCTGCCAGACTCAAGTGTAAATAACATCATAGTATTGAATCATTTATAAATGTTTATTAAATGTCAGTAATTTTCACAAAGCAAATATTAAGAGCAAGAGACATTTTTTGGCAAAATATGTACAAAAGTAAAAGCCTTAGTGAATAGCAACTCATTTTATAAATCAAACCATTCTTTCTACTCCTACGCCTCCTTTAGAAATAATTTATTGCCAAACCTGAACTAAAGCACTGACCAAAAAAAAAAAAAAAAAAAAAATTTACAACAGTATCAGATAATGTGCTTAGTTCCTAGAGGTTATAAAAGAATATATGTAAAAAATCCTAAACCACAAATACTTTTACACGGAGCTAATACAAATCATGTTTTGTTAGGTACAGTATGTATGAGGTTGTTACAAAATATACTTTTGATAAGGCTTCTTGTGGCAGATGAGCTCTCACCCAGGAGAGTGAGGAATAGAGAAAAGCCATTTAGAACATTTTGCGATTCTGCTTTCAAGTAGGAGGCAAAGAAAGGGGAAATGGCATAGGCTGTTGCGCAAGTACACTTGTAGCAACCCCTTCTCCCTCCCTCCCCTTTATTCCTGGTACCATCTAACAGGCATGATTGAGGAAAAATTTGTCACTTTCTAGAACAAGCTTTGTACATACAAACACATCACATTCCAAGTAGTTTATTACAGTCTGGACACTCGCTGATTCCAGATTTCAACCCATCTGTAAATTTGCATCACTGTTAACAGCACATCTGTATAAGACACAAAGATCGCCAACCAAATGAGAAAATTAACAAGAACAAAACAATTTTCCAGCCAGGTGTGGTGGTATATGCCTACAATCTCGGCACTCAGGAGACTGAGGCTGGAGGATTGTGAATTCAAGGCCACATAGTTACATAGCAATGATCTGGCATTTGAAACCAGTTAGTCTGAAATGCCACAAGTGACTGTATTAATGTTAAGTGCTGACTCTACAGTTGTGTATAGGTGTTAAGAATGTTAGCGGTACAAACACTGTACTTCAAAGGTGCTAATAATCACCTGCTGCCTGAGGCTAATAACTACTTAACAGTACTTGAGAGAGCCAACAATAATTGGTTTAAAATGTTCAGGTTTAGACTCATACTGCACTCTGGTTTACATTTATTAAGCCCTAACTTCGTACCATAAAATGGGCATGGACTGCAACATTGGCTTGATTTGGAACACACCACTTGTAATCTCTGCCCTCCTCCTGTCTACTCAACTGAAAGGTCAATCTGTGTCCAAGCCCTAAAAAATAGAAAATCAGTACTTTTAGTTAAGCAGCACAATACCAAAGACGCATGGTCTGTGACCCATGAAGTCAAACAAGGTGCTGGAAGAGTGGAAGAGACACAGTGACCAGGGCTACTAGTCAGATTTTCACTGTCAGTGAAAAATACAAGTGCAAAGCTTTTGTTCTTTATCCCTCAAATAAAACTAAAAGAAACAAAAAGGTAAGAGTGGCTTTCTCTAGATTTATTAGGGAGCTTGTTACAAAGGTTGAACTGGTTTTACAAGCATGATTTCATGGATCCAAACAAATGAAGGGTTAATACTGATAAGTTGGCCTTCTCATTAATTACATCCTGTCCAATGGCTTGTGTGGGGTTTGTCTACATGTATCATTAGATAATGAAAGCACCAATTAAAGGGTTTCTCAAATAGTGATTTCAGGTTCAGGATATAACAGCCTAAATCAGTAACTTTATTCTTCATATAAATAAGGCATCGCCAGATATTTATACTAATGCTGAAAAACACATTTTAAGAAAAACGTTAAGACAGAAGTATCTGGATATGCACTGAATTTGAAGATGGGCATGCAATTTGTTGCTGAATCAAAACCAGTACTTCTGATCACTGTGGTATTATGGTAGGCTTTCTTCCTCCTGCTTTGAACTAACCATGATCACAAACTGAACAAGGATCTCCCTCAACAGTCCCAGGCGAGATGAATTGGGAGGGCATTCTCAATGTAAAGTACCCATCAGTACTGGGTGAAAGACAGAAAACAGAAATGTCTTCTTTATTCCACGCTGTTGTCTTTGGCTGTGGAAGCACTTGGGCTAGCAAGCGCCCGATATAGATAGTAAAAGTGAAATGAGGATTTCAATTGCACATTTGGCAGAAAGCAAAAATTCAGGCTATTCAAATAATATTTATGTGAGAGAAATATGTCTTGAATTATTTAGATCTTTGGAGAACACTGACAAAACCTTTTCCCTATAAAAAAAAATTAAGGTCTAAATTTGTGTTGTTCTTTGATTTATAAGGCAACTCTGTATACTGTGAACTCCTTGAAGGTCAATGAAGAGCCTTGGTGTGGCATCTCCTCAGACAAGTAAATGAGAAGGCATTCAGATTTAAGAACAGAAAGTGATGCAGGTCAGGCACAGTGTTTTCCAAATCATAACCAGATTTGGAAAATGGAACACAGCAAAGAATTTCAAATCTGACTTCACTTACCTTTTTAGAGGTTTGGGAGACGTTAGCTTAGGATTATTATAAGCACCTTTTCCACTGGGTTCATGACATTTCACCTCCCTCTTCACATAGTGGTATTTCAATTCAAAAGGACCTAGTTTTTATCACATAGCTATCAGACTCCACTTGAATAGTTCACATTGCAGCCTAGAGAAATGTACAGCTTAAAGCCTTTCTGTTGAGCCTCACAGTTATACTAGATGTCCACACAAGTTTGCTTAAGTAGCACAGAAGCAATTCACTGCCTCCAAATACATTCTGGGTCTTATTTTAAAAGCACACTGATTCTGAGGCATTACACATGCATCAGAAGAAAACCGCAGATGCCAACACGCTACCTTGTCTAGTTGGGTGTTTTAACATTGCTTGGTGATAGTAAAACAGAGAAATGTGGGGTACTATTTATAGTTCTTACCAAACCACCTCAATAAGACCAAGAGTCCACTCTTCAGCCTTCACTGGTATTCAATGTCTTGGCCATCCAATAAAATTGTTTGATGAATTTATGTGGAACAAACCAAATGTTACTGTTGCACATATCCAGAAATTCATTAGATCTAGAGTTATGCTATCCTGAAGATTCAAACAATGCATTCTTTTGGCAAGAAGCACTAGATGTAGAAGGACTGAGACATGCAGGAGTTATACTAGGAAGACCTGCATAGGTTGAGGGGCTCAGTGTCTGAAGCTCATGTATTACCAAGGCATGAAAACATGAGTTCACACAGATGCAGCGACAGTAACACCTTGGTGCAAGAAGAGTCAGCACGTGAAGAATGAATCCCTGCTCATGCACTGACAGGCCCAGCTCCTATATCTCACCGCTAGACAAAACAAGAGCCACTGATTTGGAAAGGCTGGGTGATCCACAATGTTGACCAATCTTTGAAGGGCCAATAGAATACCTGAGAACACAGTCAGCTGTACAGTAAAGTGACAGATATCACAGTCTTCATCACAATTATCAAGAAAAGCAAGAGTGGCACATTTTGCAAATGGTTCCTAACTTTGTACACATATATCTCCAATGCTAACACTACACTGAACCTACAAGACAGCAGTTTTAATACTGCGAACTGTATCTGAAATCACAAAGTGATGGGCTTAGTTTAATCTGGTATGGGTGGGAGGAGGGGTCAAATGTGTGAACAAAAACAACAACAACAAAAAGACTACTTGTCCTTAGAAGCATTCTCCAAACAGTTAAAATGTACTCAACATAGCTGGCATCTCACACACAGTAACTGTGCAAACATGTACCCACTGTACATCTTTAGAGACACACCAAGAATGAATAAGAATCTCAAACAATGCCTTCTTGAGTCATCTGCCAGGAAAATACTGCCCTTGGCCAGCTCCACATAAACAAAGAATCCGTTCAGTGCCACAGTGTGGAGGTACTGGGCGGGGACAGGGGAGTGGAGGAAGGCGGGATGCAGGAGTGGTTTCCTCCAGTCAGCTGCAAGTCCCCTGACACAGGACTGGAGGAGCCACGTGGCATTCGGGACAGGGATGTCTACTTCTGCTACCAAGGTGCTTGCGTGTTTTAGGTCATGCAATGGCCCAAATGTTTTGCTTATGGCACATTAAATTACATGATAAATAAACATGAAAAAGGCAAGTTACATTTTACCCATTACTTTTGATCAAAATATATAACATTTGCTTGTCTTTTTTGCTCCTTGGTACCATTTGTGAACTCACTCTCTTCAGACCAGAAATCCTTATGTAAACTTTAAAACACTAAGAACACTACCTCTAGGAACCAAAGCAACTTACAAAACAGCTGTTGTGTGCATAAGCAATTATAAACACACCAAAGCTAAACCTGTGTAATCTAGACTAGCATTTCTTAGATCAAACCTTTTCCAACAGCCCTTTTGTAACGTGGTCATTCTAAAGCTAGGCATCCTGTGTTCCTCTCTCTGTAAGGCAGATAAAGACCTTTTACTGAACATTCCTAGCCTCATTCCTACACTGTCTATACTTGGCACTACAGGATTCAATTTGAAAAATAAAAGAAACACACCTAGTCTGAGGTTGGCCAGGAAATTACAACAGGACTTGAGTGGAAGCTTGATGAAACTGGCCAAAACCTGAACTCCAGCAAACACAACAATGCGTTCATTACTCAGCAGCTTTCAGCCACAAACCAAAGGCAGCAGAAGGACTAGGATTTCCAAGAAGTTAAACATAGAATCAAGATTGTTTTCTAATTCCTGTTGTAAACTGCTATTTAAAAAAAAAAAAGACACAAACGGAAAACCATCAAACACAAAAAGGTACTATAACAGCAAGTCTCGTGTATGTCACTGGAGCATAAGCTGCTTGAGGTTGTCGTGAAGGATTGTATCCTTCACGTCACGGAAAACCAGGCGGATGTTTTCCGTGTTGATAGCAGTGGTGAAGTGGTGGTACAAGGGCTTCTGCTGCTGGTCCCGGCGTTTGCTCCGGAAACACTCCACCAGGAATTTTTGGACGTCTCTTAAGCAGTGTGGATCCCCTTCAAATTCCAGGAAATAGTCTTTGATGCTCACAATTTGCACTTTCTCCTCAAGCAAGTCTGTCTTGTTTAAGAAGAGTATTATAGAAACATTGCTGAAGACCCGATTATTGACGATGGTTTCAAAAATGTTCAGAGACTCTGTAAGGCGATTGGTCAGTCGATCCTCCATGAGCACCTGATCAAATTCACTTGAGGAAACAAGAAAGAGTATGGATGTCACACTGTCGAAGCACTCAAACCAACGTTTCCGTTCTGACCGCTGACCACCCACATCAACCATTTTGAAAGGGACGTTTTTAATTTCAAAGTCATATTCGTGGATGCCTTTGGTGGGTCTTCTTGCAAGCAAAATGTCTTGCTGTGATGGAATGTAATCCTGGAAAAGAAAAGTTTCAAATGTAGTCATCCAGAAGGAATTACTAGAATTCTTAGTGGGCTGCTAACCAGCTTAATAAATGGCTATGCAAACAAAGTTTCTGGTTTCTTTTCCTTTCTCATGAGACACAGGGTCTCAGTCTGTATCCCAGGCTGGACTGGAACTCTTGATTCTCCTGCCTCAACCTCCTGAGTGCTAGAATTATAGGTGTGCCTTGCAAATCTGGAAGCTTTTAGTTTTTGGCAATCCATAGGCATTCACTGAATAACTTTAAGACTAGTGGATTTTCCATATTTTTTTCTAGCTTTTGTTCCCAGACCCACCTATTTTTAGTAGCTGCGCTAAGTTTTGAGCCTGCTTTTCCATATTTTTGGTCAACATTTTGTTCCTGACTGCTCCACATGAGACTCTGTCACATCTCATGTGCATTAATCGGCTATGATTGCGTTAACACTCCCCTTCTGGCATTCATTTAGGTTGTTTCTAAATTGGCAATTAAAACTCTTACATATGTAATTCTTTTTTTCCCATTTGGACCATTTTCTGAGATGAAAATAACCAGAAGTAAGATTATAAGTCAACAGTAGAAATGTTCAATGATCCTGGACACTGAAAATCCCCTGCTTTCCAGGTGTGGTACCCGGTTATAATGTAGTTCATGTGACATACTTCAGCTCTGAGCTTTTTCAAAGTTTTCAAATTCCGTAACTGTAACAAGTTTTGTATTATTGTGTTTAGTATGAACAAACAATCCAGTTAGGAAGCTAGCATGAGCGCAGAATGGAATCAGAGGCTAAGTGTCTGGCAGAACAGAGTATGTGGATTAGGAGTGTGAACCTGAAGACAGCTGGCCACACACTAGCAGTATGATCCTGAGCCATCATTTAACCTCTGGGTCTTAATCCTCTCCTGCAGAAGAGAGCTAATATTTGGGTTTGGTCTGTGACAGCTGCTACCACCACTGATGAACAGTGATCAAAGGAGGCTGGAACCCATGGGTATACCTCCCACAGATACACCTCCACTGTAGTCTCTTCAGTTTGAGATGCTCGCCTGTCACTGCACTTCAAATTCTATTAACAAACACACATAGTAAGAGACTGCTTGTATTTTCCAGAGCAAGTCCTCTAAGTTGTACTACAATATTTTCCTTTCTACTTCTTGCCCCGTTAAGTCCGTCCATCATTGTTTTCTCTTCCCTGCCATCCACTTGGTAAATCCTAATATCCCTTCTTTGAATCTGTTATGCTCCCGGCTCTCTTTCCATGTACCTTTTTTCTTTCCTTTTAATAAATCATCTCAGCCATGGACTGTCATCTCTTTAAGCTTCTTTGCCTGGAAAGTCTCACATCTCTTGGATCCACCTCTTGACCACTTACTGGAAGCCTTTCTCAGACTAACCTTTCTGCAGCATGACTGAGTGCTCAGAAAGGGGTCTCCCTTTATACCTGGCTTTCTATGATGGGGGCAGGGGCTGTTCTGCCCTGCTCAAGCTACCCATAGTGTCTAGCATGCTCAAGCTACCCATAGTGTCTAGCACCAAGTCCCACATAAAGCCTCACTCAGCACCACTGTGTGCTCATATCCGCATAACTGAGCAAGTGCAATGCAGTGGATGAAGACTCAAGCCACTGCCTTTTAGAAATCTATTTTAATACGCTAGAGCCGAGGCCACTTATCCTTCCACAGACAGGTGTGCCTCCTAAAAGCAGACACCAGTTGTCTCCCACCTGGGTGGGCCACAGCTCATTATGTAAATAAATCCAACCAACCCTTCAGGCAGTTCAGGCTCATTTACTCTTACACACTAGCTCTAACTTTTCCAGCCAAGATATCTCTCTCCTGCCTGCAAACTTTACTTGCAAAACTTTACTTATCTTCATGATTGGTATCATTTAATTGTCTTCTACTTGTTTTATGTGGGTTAGTTTTGTCTCTCTGGCTAGACTGAGCTCCTTAAATATAGGGATCAAAGAACAAAACAGCTAGCATAGTACTTGCTACACCACTGCCCCTTCTGAGGCTATTTCGTGCACTGTCCTACAATGTTATGAGCTGGTCCTCCTACTATGCCCACGTTCTGGATGGAGCAACTGGGGTTTAGAGATGCCTGAGGCCACACAGAACCTATCTCTCCTGGACCTGGAACTCGAATCCAGGCTGTCTGCTTGCTATGTCCTTGACCTCTGTGTGCTATTCTACTTCCCAGAATGCTCTAGGCTTGGCATTCAGCAGTGTTCTGACAACTCTGGGACTTCTGTAAGAGATAGGACATCAAATGCAATCCTATGACTTGTCTGATATGCACAGAATTGGTGACAAAATGCAGCACACCTAGATTCAGCCTCTTCTTTACACTGATCACATAGCTCTTTTTATTCTAGATGTGGTTTCTGGAATGTTCTCAACATAAGGCTGCACCAGAGACTCAACTCCTTCACCATGAGATCCTAGCCTTTATGGAGAGAGATAAATAAAAGACAAATGTAAGGTAATTATCAATGGTATGCATGCAATGAAGGAAAGAAATGAGGGTTGATCTGAGAAGCAAGAGTTGCTTAAATGATGTGCTCAACCAAGACTTATTTTAAAGGTAAACTGAGAACAGCAGGTCAAGGCAGCATTATTTAGAAAACAGGAAGGAAATCTTAAAAATATTAGGTGGGGCACAGTGACTCATGCCTCTAGCTACTCAAGAGCAGGAGATTGGGGGGGATTATGGCTCGTGGCCACCCTAGACAAAAATTAATGAGACCTCATCTCAACAATAAAAAATTGGCTGTGGGGGCTGGGAAGGTGGTTCAGTGGTAGAGCGCCTGCCTTGCATGCATGAGGCCCTGGGTTCTATTCCTCAGCACCACATAAGCAAAAAAGAAAGAAAGAAAGAAAAAAGCCGGAAGTGGCGCTGTGGCTCAAGTGGTAGAGCGCTAGCCTTGAGCTGAAGAGCTGAGGGACAGCGCCCAGGCCCAGAGTTCAGGCCCGACAACCGGACCGCCCCCCCCCCCAAAAAAAATTGGCTGTGGTGGTGTGTAAATGCCATTTAGGAAACATAAATAGAAGAACCACAGTCAGGGGAAAAGTATGGGACTCTATTTGGAAAGTAACTAAAGGCTGGGAATGTGGCTACTGGTAGACTGCTCTCCTAGCACACATGAGCCCCGGGTTCGATTCCTCAGTACCAACCACATAAACAGAAAAAGCCAGAAGTGGTGCTATGGCTCAAGTGGTAGAGTGCTAGCCTTGAGCAAAAGAAGCTTAGGGACAAAGCCCAGGCTCTGTTCAAGCCCCAGGAGGAAGGAAGGAAAAGCCCCAGGAGGAAGGAAGGAAGGAAGAGAGGAAGGAAGGAAGGAAGGAAGGAAGGAAGGAAGGAAGGAAGGAAGGAAGGAAGGAAGGAAGGAAGGAAGGAAGGAAGGAAGGAAGGAAGGAAAGAAGGAAAGTAGGCAGGCAGGCAATGAAATTAAAGAAAAAGAGACCTAGGAGCGTGGCTCAAGTGGTAGAATACTTGACTAGCAAAAACAAGGCCCTGAGTCCAGCATCACCAAAAGGAGGCAAAAAAACGAAAACTAGTTTATCTAGAAAGGTTTTTCTCCAATTAGCCTATCTTTAACTTTTTTCCTTTAAGATTTATTAACTGACTAGACAAAAAAACTTAATACAAAGGTCACTAATGTGGACTGAATGAGTAAAAACTCAGACTACAGAGATCTCAAGTTCTGAAATGGGTATGGGTCTAGAAAATAGCAGGAAAAAAATACACTGGCTTGAAGGCAGACAGATGGAATTTAGAAAAATACTGGGAAAAATTGCAAATGAACCTGCTAGAGAATAAAGACAGTACTGGTCTACCTGTCCTAAATACATCAGTACAGCACTTTCCAGCTCTTCATTTTGCACCTTTTTCCATTACATTTTTAAAGTTAAAAACTTCAAAGAACCCATAAGACTACATAAACATTTGCTAATTTATTCAAAGAAATTAAATTAAAATTAAAGGAAGTTTGTTTAAAGAGGGGACAAATGAAGCCACACCAGGTCCAGAGTGAACAAACAGTCCTAGGGCAACAGTTTCGAAGCATTTTCCAAGCTTCAGACGCTTTGAAATGAACTCTATCAAATGCACACATAGAGCAGTCAAGCCGTGCTCTCAGCCTGTGTGGGGATGGGAAACCAGAGCCAGGCCAGCACCAGCTGAGTCACGGGCTCCCAGAAAACACTCAGAAGATAATAGACTTTCTTCCCAAGGCTGGCCCCTCCTCCCATCTCAGAGGCTCTTTTGCAGGAACCCAGAGTCAAGGCTCCACATTGTAACTCAACAAAGAGTCCGGAACTAGAAAATGGTGTTTGCTGCAAGGTTTAGAAATCACTCTCACTGTGTTCTCACAAATTCTGTTTATTTGAAAGGTAATAGAAAATGTGCAATCTTAATTCAAGCATAAAGCTTCTTCATGGTGTTAATTTCTATTAATCTCCATGAAATAGTGGGTAAGGAAATTCCTCAACGAAACAGGCAGAGGCTTAGACTGTATAGAAGAAAAACACCCAGAAATGTCTCAACTAAACAACAAATTTTTTCATTAAAAATCTTTAGCTAGCCAGGCGCTGGTGGCTCACACCTGTAATCCTAGCTACTCAGGAGGCTGAGATCTGAGGATGGAGGTTCAAAGCCAGCCTGGGCAGGAAAGTCCATGAGACTCTTATCTCCAATAAACCACTAGAAAACCCGAAGTGGCGCTGTGGTTCAAGCGGTAGAGCACTCGCCTTGAGCTGAAAAGCACAGGGACAGCGCCCAAGCCCAGAGTTCAAGCCCCAAGACTGACCAAAAAAAAAATCTTTAGCTACTAACAGCTTTAAAATAAGGTAGGATGAGTCAGTCTACTCCCAGTAGGGGAAAAAAAAAGGAAGAAATAAATAGCTTAATATATACTTTTTCTAAACTTCTTAACAGGGTACCCCAAAATAAAAACATTAATGTCCTGACAAGTGCTTTCAATTATGAATAAGTACAACTATTTGGTTTTAATACTTACTGATTCTCCAAGTTTATCCAAGTTGTCCAGGAAATACTTTACAGATTCACCCTAAAACAAGAAAATAAATAGTTATGAGGGATTAGGAATGGAAGATCCTGTTGGTGGTGTACTGTCTTGTGTATACTTAATCTAAGCACACTTGGTTTAAGTCACCAATTCAAACTCAACAATGAAGCCTTCAAAAAAAATGCACACACACACACACACACACACAAATCTTCCCTGCCCAAATGGTAGATCTTAGTTTACAAAAGCCATATCCTAAGTGATCCAGCTATCTGGATAGGATTACATGTGTGCTTTCTGACAGAACTACATATCCGAAGAAAAACTGTAATTAAAAGGTGAAATTTATGAGGATCAACACAACCTACAACTAAAATCTAAGAGAGAGCCTTTTTGTGTAGAGCCAAGATGATTATCTTCAGGGACAAGAGCACACCGAGATGAGGTAAGAACAACGTGTAACATCTCTAGAAATAAGGACAGGCCTGGGAAAACTATACTCCAGAAGATCACAGGTGGTATCACAGGCTTAGACAGCTCCAGGGAGTCTTTTTCTGAGTGAGTCCCTTTCTGAGCCCCAATTTCTATTATATCGGCAAATAATTTCATTTGGCCCCAGTGTCTGTGAATACAGACCTAAAGACAGAGGACACAAGAGGAGATCTATTCTGAGTTTTCCAGCCCTCACTTTCCAAGGGATCCTGCAGGCTGAAGGACTCGCCCCTACCTGAAGCTGCTTCTGTGGTTCAGGAAGGCTGGGCTTTGGGGCTCAGAGAATCAATGGAGACTACCAGAGACTGCAGGTTCTCATTTAACAGATCTGGGTATAGTTTCTGCACTTCAGGGGATGTCTGGAATTATGCTACAAATGCCTCAAGGAAGCAGTTCTTGACTTTTTGGTCTCACTATCCCTTTCATGTCTTAAAATGCTTAAGTTACAGCAACTTGAACAAAATTATTAATTCATTAAAAAGCACCAATAGTAAGCCCATTATAGGCTAACCTACTTTTTGTAAGTCTCTCTAAGAATTTAAAAGCATTTTTAAGACACTTGCTTTTTGCTGCCTCAAGAGCTCTACAGATGTTTCCTACCCCACAGATGAAACAAGGATTTTTTTCCCAAGTGAATCTAGATGAAGGCAATGTAAGCCAAGACCATATGAAAGTGTTCTGCAGATGCTCCTACAATTAACTAAGGTGCAGACTTGAAGGTGCTCTACATTATAGTGACTGATGCTTAGCATTTCGGGGGCCTTAGAACAAGGGAGCTCTGCTGAGGAAGAAAATAAGCACCACATTTAAATCACAACCAAAGTTCAACTATGCAAAAATGTACTCTGATAAGTATTACTCATCTATCTGGTGGTCAGATGGATGAAAGTTAAGGTAACTTTAATATTATCTGAAGTTGCAACCTTTCCCCCGTTTTAATGTAAATGCTTATATAACCAATGCATCATTTGGGAGACTACAGAGAAACTAGTATATTCATTCTGAGGACCTTCCAGATTCACACAAACCTTTAAGAAAATTACAGAAAGCATGCTCCTTAAAATGTTTAATCTTTGTTACCTTCTGAGAAACTTACTTGGCATAAGCGAAGTGGTACACATACGTCAGGTGTGGCTGCACCTGCCTGTGAGGCTGGCACTTGGGAGACAGAGGTTATGAGGATCCCAAGTTTGAAGCCAGCCTGGTCTACATAGTGAGACCCTGTTGGGAAAACCGAGGGCTGGGAATGTAGCTCAGTAGTACAAGACTTGATAGCATGTGCAAGAAGACCTGGGTTTGCTCTCCAGGACCACACAAAAAATATACACACAAAAGGGTATTTTCTTAGTACTACTTATAACAGCAAAAACAGAAGGGCATCTTATCACTTAACATTAGGGAAATAATTTAATGAACTCAGTTACACTAACATAAAAGTCATTAAATAAGTTATATCTGAAATACTTTCTACATGTTAAATATGCCATTAAAACAAAATAGATCACAAAGTGAAGGACTACAACCCTTGTCCCTCCCTTTGCTTTTCTAAGCTTGGCACAACACTCATCTGGCAGCAAAGCCTGACCTGAACTATCTTAGGTTTCTTAACTCTTATCCAACATGGTGATACTACTTACATGTTTTGCTGAACAAAAGCTGTGGAATTAGATAGTCAACTATTCATTCGCATAAGTAGCTTTTTTGGGGGAGAGGGGAAGGAGCTGGGACATGCTAGCTAAAAGTGCTGCCACTGAGCTACATCCCGGCCAAGACCTTTCTAATGTAACAAAAAATATTTAACTCTGTAAGATATTGGGGTTCAAAAATGATATATGAGTATAGACTGAACTATATATTATTTGATTTTGGCTATTTGAAATACGGGTAAAGGTAATTTGATGGCATATTTTCTAAGACAAGAAAAAAAAGAGAAAGAAAATCATCCTCTTCTTTTCTTGACATTGAAACTACTTAAGAAATCTATTTCAACAGTTCTTTTCTTTGAAGCCTCCCAATTTAATTGCTTTTCCTAACAGAGAATCTTAAAGTCTTTTGGATCAAAATTACAACATACTTTGTTTAGTAGGAATTCATAATCTCACCCAAATCGAGCGGCAATACTTATAGAAAAATGCCTGTGCTCCTATTGTTAAATCTTAACTTCTAGTAAAGTTATGTCAGTGTAATTTAGTCTTTTGTGTCCTCCAAGACCACGAAGTTGAAATCAAAATATTCATAATCATTCACGTTTGAACACAGAGATATTACTTCTAATATTTCAAAGTGCTACATAAGGTGCCCTCAGCCAACTGACTACTTTGCTTTCTCCTTCATCACCCAGCCACGGGCTATGCAAGAAGTACACCTATTTCAAATGAGATTCCCATGAGAAGTTGATTTTGATTTAAAGTAACTCTCCAATCAAAAAAGTATTCCAGTGAGAGCAAGGCCTGGATTCAAACCCCAGTACCCCCACTCCTCCAAAAGCAGATAAATTAATTCATGGTTTCATTTCACAGGTTCTGTTATATACATCCTTCCATTAGTAAGAACAGAGAGTGGGAAAAATACAAATAGTTAAAGTGTCAGAATACACAAAAAGAATTATCTGATTTTTTTAAAGATAATTGCTTTATGTCAATAGCAAAAGGACAACTCTACTTATAGAAGAGAACAAAAAATAGAGATGAGCCTTCAGAATTAGGTATGTCAAGTCTATAAAGATGAGAATCAAATACAGATGTTTTTAATGCAAAGCCCTTCCCGTGTACATACATATGTGCGTATGCATCTGTGATGTAGCAAGGATGTACCAAGATATTTAAAAATGATCTTCACCACAGTACTACTGAGAAAGAATGTATAACCTCAATCATAACAGTGAGTTAATGGTGCTGGTAGAGCCCTTGGATTCTTTGTTCCATTTATCTAGATGGAGACTAGGGAGCTATCCACAAACTACAGCCTGTAGGCCAAATCTAGCCCACTGCCTGGGTTAGGGCAATTTTTAAACAGCTGGGTTAAAACAAAACAAAAAAAGCAAAACTAAACATGTCATTTCATGACATGAAATTCATATTTTGGTGTCCCTACATGAAACTACATTGGTACCCCAGCCACATTCATTTGCTCGTAGATCACTAATGGCTGATTTCATGCCCCAAAGCCAAGGAAGCAGCAGAGGTAGAGGCCATGAATGGTCCTCTCAGCTCTGCTAATGGCTTGGGACACTCAGAACTGCAGTGCTGAAGTTATAACGTGATGCTTCTGTCACTGGACTGCTACACATTTTAATTTTTTTAATTATTTGAATTTTATTGTCAAGGTGATGAACAGAGGGTACAGTTACATAAGTCAGGTAGTGAGTACATTTCCTGTCCAACTCGTTACTCCCCCTCCCTCATTTCTCTCCTTACCTTCCTTCCCCTCCCAACCTCCTCCCCCAACTTGTACAGCTCATTTCTAACGTATTGCCTTGTGAGAATCGCTGTTGCGCTGGCTCCCCCTTTGTCCTTTGTCTCACCATTTTGTTGTTCCCCTTCCCTTCCCCGATTGAGATAAACATCTATACAATACCCAGGTACCAAAATCAACAGGGTATAAACCACAGGGGGGAAAACACAAAAGAAAAAAGAAATCATATAGTACATCAAGTCTTGGAGTTCATTTTGCTTAGCATCATCTTTTTTTTAGGGGGAGGGGGGGGTCTGGTCCTGGGGCCTGAACTCTGGGCCTGAGCGCTGTCCTTCAGCTCTTCAGCTCAAGGCTAGCGCTCTACCACTTGAGCCACAGCGCCACTTCCAGCTTTTTTCTTTTTGCTTATGTGGTGCTGAGGAATCGAATCCAGGGCCTCAGGCATGCAAGGCAAGCGCTCTACCACTGAGCCACCTTCCCAGACCTTAGCATCATCTTATATGGTCATATGTACATAGCTATTGAGCTATTCTGCTCATCTGCTAAGATTATCCTAGAAGTATACTAATTACTATAAATAAGGGAAACCATAGGACCTATGTTTCTTTGGGTCTCGCTTACTTCACTTAATATGATTTTTTCCATGTCCTTCCATTTCCTTACAAATGGGGCGGTGTCATTCTTTCTTATGGAAGCATACCGTATTTTCGTGATCCATTCATCTACTGAGGGACATCTGGGTTGGTTCCAGATCTTAGCTGCCATACATTTTAAAAGCTACCATAAGTTCATATCTACCAAAAAAAAGAACAGCACAAGAGGATTTTGAATGTTTATGCTTTTAAGTTCACTGGAATATGGCTAATTCTGAATCAAGCTGGATGATAAAACACTGTCTAATACACAGTAACACTATAGCTATCTTGAAGAACACAAAGTACAGGATAAGCACTCTTCACTGTATTACTGACCCGTAGGAAAGCAACAGGAGGAAAGTCACACAATTTAAAATGTGATAGCTCACAACAGATTATCTTCACAAAGAATGAAAAGAAGTCCACTCCTGTAGTTTCAAACAGCTTACTTATTAACCACGAAAGGAATTACTAACTCACATAGTGAGTTACTCACTCATG